AAAACGGGCAATATATCATTGATTGATCTTTATTATTTATATAAATAAATGGCTTTCGAAAAATATAGACAAAATACGTCATGACTTTTCCAACAACCCAACAGAAACAACTTAAACTGGTCAAGATATCATTTGAGTTGAACAAACCACAAAAAATAGAGACATCAACTAATGTTTAACCATGTTTTCTACCAAGCTAACCAAACAGTGATTAATGGTGTGAGTGTGTATGCATGTGTGTACATACACATACATATGTAGATATATATATTTAGATGTTTATATTTTATATATCAATTTTTTTGCACCCGTCTCACCACACAGTTCTTTTGGTTGCTTTAATAACCAATGTATATGTGGCTGAGTTGACTGCCTCTGTAGCAATTAAAAGGAATTATGAAGATGAGGAAAAAAACACCAAATCAAGCATGGTACAGATGTAAAGACAAGCTGGGTATCAGAACAATTTGAAAATAGAGCAATTATGAAACCTTCTTAGTACTTTAGCGACCACAGCATATTCCTGTGCTAAAATATCTGCTGACCTAAATCAGTGGTTTTTTCAACTTGTTCCATTGAGCCCTAGGTGTCCAAGGGTTATCTTGTGTTGCTGGGTAAGTTAAGGAGCTCATCTCTGGGCCTCCCATTAGTTACCCAGAGACGTGCCATTGCATTTCTTGTCGTTTAGGAAGCTGTGAAAGTTAATTGGGATGGAAAGGGAAAATTCCACTCCCAAAAAGCACTTGTAAGTCACAGGTAGGGGTAAACTCTTTCCATAGCAGGCAATTTAGAATCATGACTGACCACTACAAAGTTAATAGCTATGATCATGACTCCAGAAAACTTACAACCTGCATTAGAGACTGAAAGGATATGTCTACAACACCCCCTACAACAGCTCAACAATATGGACACACAATTTCCAGGCAATTCACCAGCATGCTGTATTAACTCTGCAACAGACGTGTCAGTATAAATTTCAAATCATTTCTAAATTTTAAAAGTTATTTGACATTATAAAGTCAAAACCCAAAGTTGTGCCACTCAGGCTCACCACCTCGCCGCCATGGAGACGGGCCTCTGTCACACTCTGCAGCACTGACATTTGTCATGAGCTTAAGTCCTATGGGCGGGCATTCCACCGGCTCATCATCCTAACATCATATTGTGAATGTATGTGCTGTAGATTCAACAAACAGGACTCACACAGGCATTTCAAGATGTTCAACCTCCAAAGAAGGAAAGCACAGTATGCAAATACTTTTAAATAACAACCAATTAAAAAAATAAAATCTCAGGGTATAGCCATAGCACTGGCCAGTACAGAGAGAGGTCAAAGAAAAAGCCCCCCCTCCACTTGTCCCCTGACATGCTAATGCTCCTAAAGACAAAACCAGAGAAAAGGAGGAAAATAATCAGGGTTAGAGTACCAGTGTCACCACCAAGAGGTACAGGTGTACAAAATAGGGCTTAAGTTATGAAAATACAAAATTCCTATTAATTTTGCAAATCTGTGTTTGGGAAATGATGGTCATACCTGCTCAGAAGCTTTCTGAACAAATGAATGAATGAATGAAAACAAAACTTAAAGCAAATAATGAGCTGGCTAACTTTTTGAAGATCAGGGACAAGTTTATAGAATGTTTGAAGTGTAGCTTAAAATCTGACTATATATATATTCAAAGAATAGGATGCATCCAAAAGCCACTCTGGAGAAAATCATTAGCTCATTTTGAAATGAGATATTCATGTAGCATTTTATTAAAGGCTGTCTTGTTTCTAAGTTCTAGAGCAACATGTCCAACAGAATTTATGATAGTGTAAGTGTGCTATACCTGTGCTTTCCAGCAGGGACAACACGAGCCAGCGCTCCAAACTGAGCATTTGAAATGTAGCAAGTGCCATTAAGAGCCTAAATATTTAACTTTATTTAACCCAAATTAATGTAAATTAAAATAACCCCACGTGGACAGTGACCACCTCACTGGAAGTGCAGCTCTGAAGAACAAATGTCTCCTCATTTGCTTCACAAAGGGCTTTTATCTCTTATAGCCCTGCACATGTCATCTCAGAGTCCACAGCAGAGGCATCTGCTCTGTCCATGGCACTTCATAGAACTTACTGCATTCCTTCATTTTAGAATTTCTCCATTGAATGGAAATTAAGCAAGTGCTGACTTCCTCTGGTACACTGTAATCCACAAAAGGTTTTCTTCACTTTTGTCATCTCAGCATCCAGCATAGGACCTGATAATGAGAACTGGGGGTTCTCATTACATTTTGTGAAACAAACGAACAAAAAGAAGCTAAAAGCAGCTGAATAAACAGGGGAGTTCCAAAAATGAAAATTTAATATTTGTGGAAAACGATCCTTTTGCCTGCCATTTATTTTCTTATTCACACTCACAAAAACGACTTCT